AAAACGAGTCACAAAGTGCCGATTTCATCAGTCGTTGATGAGACAAGCATTAAAAAAATTATTTCCACGGTGAGCATTAATCGAGAGCAAAACTCACGGATATAAACTTTCACTTTCTCATCGAGACGGAGAAACTCAGAATTCGAGTCCTTTGTTATCGTGTGAGAAGCAAACCTAATGTCACTAAATTAAACCTGTGTGTAAACAATTTTAATCGCCACTCGTGGTGAACATTTTTTATTGTTTTACTCAAATGGAATTGTCGCTTGTACTTATTTTTACACCATGACTCTGTCAAGAGTTTTTCTAAAGCAACTGTTTTATCTGGGCCAGCAGTGGATTCGCGAAAGATTACGCTTTCTATCTTGACCGAGCATGCAAAAAGCGCTGCCTTTTGAAGTCATGAAGTCAGTCTCGAAGCAACGACGTGTTGGCGCTGGTTTCACCAGATAAAGTTGTTTTCGTCACATGCATGTAGTTTAAAATTAGTTTTGTCTGATTCAGAGTTAGACAAAAGTCTATCAAAATATTCATCAACCTTCCCGCCGGAGTATGGCCGTTTCTCACATCTTGGAAAATGTAAACAACTTTATGCAATTTTTGAACCCGCACTTTGTGAATTGAAACCAAATAATATTATTCTACTTCAGTTCGAACGACAAAGACCACTTAATTATCTTAATGATTGCAAATAGCGATTAAAGGGAACGGAAGAAGGTTATTGATCATTTGGGATCGTCAGAAATTTAAAAATTAAACGAGACTTACCTGTAAGTTGAAGTTTGATTGTGATTCTACCGAGTTACAGAATGCTGAGAGATTACATGAGATAGCAAGCGCATGCGCCAATCAGGTTTTAAAGACTGAATGTATGTGTTACCCAACAGCAGAGGGGAGGGTAGGGCGCTTGCCAATCAGGTTTTAAAAACTGAATGTACGTGTTACCCAACAGCAGAGGGGAGGGTAGGGAAATTGGGCATGTAATCTCTCAGCATTCTGTAACTCGGTAGAATCACAATCAAACTTCAACTTACAGGTAAGTCTCGTTTAATTTTTAAATTCTACCTCGTTACCATGCTGAGAGATTCAAAGAGACTTCAAAGCAACACGGACATGAAGGAACAACAACATGCCACTTTAATAGTAATATGTAAATGATACTTTTTACATAGATGACAAGACTGATCTTACATAATTTGAAGTCTTAGCTATAGGTTTGTTGTAAAAACGAGCAAAGCAGCATTCAGATGACCACCCTGCAGTTTGAAGAATGTCATCTAGATTTACAGAAGCCCTGCTTGCTGCTGAAACAGATGCAGCCCTTGTACTATGAGCTGAATATTTTGTTACATCAATACCAGCAAAAGCCATAGTGTATCGCACCCACCTAGTGACTGTATCCCTCCTTACGGGCTTATAAGGTTTAACGTAACTTATCAACAGCTGTGACTGGCCGCTAGGTCTCAATACTTTAGTTCTTACAAGGTATTCCGTAAGCGTAGTAACAACACAAATAGAGGGTCGTTCAAATGATTCCAGAACAACCTGAGGGTTAGGTACCCCTGGTTTGCTTTGTTTTAGGTGGCTAGGGATGACAAATGTGTATTTGGCATCATTCACAAACATATGATTTATGTCTAACAAGTGAATAGTCTGGCCTCGTTGGCCTGATACTAACAACAACAACATAACAAGTTTCAATGTAAGCTGTTTAAGTGTCAATGATTCAACAGGATGAAGTGTAGCCAGGTATGTTAAGACCACTTGGACATCCCAAACTTTTGTATATTTGGGCTTGGGTGGTCTTGACTGGAAAACACCTTTCAACAGGCATCAGACTAGCGGGTTCTGTCCAACTACAGAGCCATCATCCAATGACACATAAGAAGACAATGCACTTCTAGCACAGTTGATAGCACTGTAAGTAAGTCCTTGGTCAAAAAGTTCAGAGAAGAAATCCAAGACTGCTCCTACAGGTGGTTGAAGATGATCGACTTTCCTCTGGAGACAAAATGCTGTCCATTTCTTGATGTACCCGGAGTACTGTTTCTTAGTGCCCCCCCCCGCCAGGATGCCATGAGCAATCCAACAGCTGACTTCGATACTCCTCTTGTTTCATAGTACTGCCGGACAAGAGACATGCCATCAGTCTCATTTGCTTTCTCAGAGGATGTAGAGTCCCTGACTGTGGTAGTGTGAGGAGGTTCCTTGTCTTGTGGGAGCATTAATGGATTTGCCACAAGAAGGCTTAGTAGCCGGGGCCACCAAACCTGTGTGGGCCACACAGGAGCCACCAACAGTGCTAAAGTCTGATCCTTCTCTAATTTCTGCAGACATCTGTTAAGCAGAGAAAAGGGAGGAAAAATGTAAACAAACTGTCCACTCCAGGAAAACGAGAAGGCATCTACGTGGCAGGCTCCAGGGTCAGGCTTCCAAGAAACATATTTTGGAAGCTGGTTGTTAAGTCTGTATGCAAACAGATCAATCTTAGGAGTACCCAGTACGTCAGTAATCTTACAGAATATATCTGGTTGAAGCTGCCACTCAGTTCTCTCATTAAATTGTCTGGAGCTTATGTCTGCCTCAATATTAAGGACACCTGGCAAATGGCATGCAGTCAACCAGATATCATTTTCCATACAGTACATCCAAACACTTTTAGCAAGTTTGTTACACGGAGGGGATTTAGTGCCCCCCATTGCATTAAGATAGCAGACAGTTGTAGAATTGTCAGTTTTAATGCACACATGCTTTCCTTTTAATAAGGGCTGGAAGGATTTCAAACCAAAGTAGACTGCTAATAATTCAAGTTCATTAATGTGCTTTTGTTTTTCAAATGGGGACCACATGCCTTGGGCACTTTGTGCATTGCATACCGCCCCCCAGCCTAATTTCGATGCATCTGTTGCCATTTCTATATCTGGGTTGTCCATGGTGATACTTTTGCATGCTGTAGGTAGGTTAGTCACCCACCAGCGAAGCTCACTGATAGATTCTGACGAGAGGGTCATATTAGCTTCATAGTTGCCATTATTTTGTTGCAAAGCTGTATTTTTGTCAATTTCAAGACTCCTGTAAAAAAGGGGTCCATACTGGACAGCAGGCAAACTAGAGACCAGAAGTCCAATGACCTGGGCAACTTCTCTTATAGAAATTATACTTTTCTTTAGCAGTTGTTGGCATGCCAAAATTATTTTCTCGGTTTTTTCTGCCGTAAAAAATACTTTCATGTTGACAGAATCTAAAAGAAAACCAAGAAATGGCAATTTTGGACATGGTTGCAACACTGACTTTTCATGATTGATCAGGAATCCTAGAGACTCAAATAGGGTTAGGGTAGTAAGAATATTACTTCTGCAGTCTGTCTTTGAGTCCCCCTGTAAATATGAGTCATCTATATAGCCAACATTTAAGTAGCCTTGGCTACGCAATGTGCTATACACTGTTTTCAATAGTTTTGTAAAGTATCTTGGTGCAGATGCTAGGCCGTTAGGGAGACATGTGTACTGAAACAGCCTATTTCTCCAGAAAAACCTTAAATATTTCCTGTGCTCAACAGCCACAGGAACAGTGTAATATGCATCTGTTAGGTCTATAGAAGCCATATAACAGTTTTTCTTCATTAACTGGATAGCACATGTTAGGCTTTCCATTTTAAAATGTTGATACTCTATGGATGCATTCAGTCCTTTTAGATTCAAGATCAGTCTGTAAGAACCATTTTTCTTTTTTCTGAGAAAAATTGTAGAGACATACTGACCATAACTAGGGTCAGTCTCCTCAAGAACCCCTTTGTTAAGCAATAATTTGTTGTATTTCACCATCAATAAGTGCAGCCTCTTCAGAGTTAAATCTAACTGGAGGCTTAGGATATTGTTGATAGGGGTGTTCAGTAAACTCAAGATGACAGTGTTCAACCATGTCAAGAATTTTTCTGTTTGATGTAATTTCCATCCAGGCAGAGAGAAAGTATTTAAGCCTGCCAGCAATTTGCAACTCTTTGTCCCTTACCTCAACGTTTTGGTCATGAATTAGTTGTGGTTCTTCTGAGCAGCCTTCCTCCCCCCCTCCTTCTTGCTGAAGAGGGGGCGGCGGTAGTTTTTTGACAGCCCAGAATAATAATTATTATTCCTGTATTTGCCTTGGTATCTGTCTGAGTGACCATCACTTCGTGATCTTTTGAAGCTCTGCTTAGTTTCTCTACTAAGCTTGGACGTGATTCGGTTGGTATCAGTAATGTCTTTTACCGCCTTGGGTAGATCATCTCCAAAAAGCTCAGTTGTTATTGGGTTTGAGGGAGCACAAAGATAGCGGTAGCTTGTGTGAAGCTCCGGTTTTAGAGCCTCCCTACGCCTCAGATTTAACTCTGTGTTAGAATTAGCCATCAACAGAACACCATCCATGAGTTGGTTAACTAGTTGACCCTTTGATGGCATATCTGGCTTGCTGATCAGGTCATTTACAACCTGGACCACTGCAGTTGGACCCTTAATAAGGGATTTTTGCACCTTCTGGTATTTAAGATCTGAGGTACGTGCTCTCTCTGAAAGATTATTCCAGATTGGTAGGTTGACCCTAGTTTCGGCCAGCATATCACAGTTTTTTGGCCTGAGATACCGTTTTTTGATTTCATTCAGCTTATCTTCCTCAGGTTTGTCTGTCAATACCTTTGGGACAATAGCGGCTAAGTTTCCATGAATTTCAGCGCCATCTTGTTCAGAGACATTAAACTCCTTTTCGAGTTTATTAAGTATGTCACTATTGTCCTTAGGCAGAGCAATGCCATCATCGGTTTTTTGTTTTTTACGAGCAGGTTCCTCAGGTTCTATGTCTGAGCCGCCGCCACGGTCATCCGACTCGGAGTCGGAAGCTACAGAAGCGTTATTCTCGCATGCGGCGTCGTTTTTTGCCTTGAGCAAATCGCCCAAATTGCTAAAACCCTTGTTCATCTCCACCGCAAGACCAGAAAAAGCGTCTTTGAGAAGGGCAGCCACGCCAGTGGTTAAACTTTGACCCGGGGTAGCAGATTGTTTTGAGCCGCTACGACGCTCTTTTGGCGCGCTTTTTTCCCTCGAGGAACGGCTAGGTTTTGTCACATTTTTTGTGACCACTGCCGTCTTAGAGGCACCAGAGCCAGTAGAAGGTGCTTTCTCGCTCTTCTTTTACAACTTATCATCACATTTAAGTGATTTTGTGGGATCTTTAGTCCCAGAAGTGGGCTCTGCGTCTTTTGACAGCGAGCCTTTGTGCTTCTCCGCACGTGTTGTGCTTGATCCTGCGGAAAACTCTTCGTCCCAGTCGTTCAAACTGGCGTCTAAGGCCGAGTCCATCTCTAGCAATTTGGAAATGGTAGTTTCCTTTGCTAATTTCAATGACTTGCTCATTTTTAGTAGATAAAAGAGCTGTATTTTTGGAAAAAATCCTCAAATACAGCGATAAAAGTCAATCTGATCGGCGACAAACGTTGCACTGATTGGCGCATGCGCTTGCTATCTCATGGAATCTCTCAGCATGGTAACGAGGTAGAATTACAGTACAAAATACAAGCTCTTGAGACAACCGGACTTTGCCAAATAAATAAACAGTTCATACAATGTCGATCATTGTTATGATTTTACTTGTCGGCAAACGTGGTTTGTTTTGGATCGTGTATAATAAATTATAGAATGAAGGCTTTATTGAATTCATTCGAGTTGTATTTATCAATCATCACGGCATCAAAAAATAATAATCGCCAAACTTGCCATCGAAAGATAGCTATCTCTCATGATTGTTTTGAAATAAATGGAAGCAAAAAGCTGCTCTCGTTTCACTGTGTTAGGCTACTACATTCTACTTTAACGCGTGTCATGTCATTCTAACGGAATCGTTACCCGTTGAACGGATACTAGTTTATTCTAACGGATCCTAACGGCTTCTCTAGCCGTGCTAACAGATGCAGAGTTTTTGCTAATGGTTATGCTGACCCGTCTAACGGTCTGATACTAACGGCTAACGGATACATGTCTCTTGCTAACGGTTACACTGTCCGTTCTAACGGCCTCATGCTAACGTCTAATGGCTGGGCTAACGCCTCTAACGTTCTTAAGAAAACTTTCTAACGGTTGACTAACGGATGCTTAACGCTTTTGCTTGTCTAACGGATAAGCGTTAAGGTACGTTTTCCCGTGCACGGTCACATTTATAGGAACAAAGTACCCACCCGACGGCAACGGCAACGAAAACGTCACTTGAACATGAATTTGCGCCATTTCATCTCATCGCTATAACTCCACCTCGTTCGATTTGTCAAACACGTTACGGTAGGCGAATTTTTTTGAGGGGTTATTCGTACGAAACCGTATGCAAATTCAAAGAATTTAAAGAGAATTTTCTTTTTGAGTTTACTTCCTCCATAAAACATGAAATTAGGACTGATTAAATTACGGTTTCCTTCTGTAGGTAACCTTGGAATGTCGCCCCAAAGCATAGCACAGAAACCTAAATACCGATATGTCACGATCCACTTTCAAGATCGGCGAGGCGCAACTTCGCATCGTTACAGAAACTGCGATGAAATCAGCGTTTCAATAAGGTGTGAGCAGAAGCACTATCCTAAATGGTTTAGGCAGTGGCGTTATAGCTATATGGCATACGCCGTCACTATCGTGGTTGCTTTTAGTTCATTGTTTTCCGAATCCAAAGGGGGATTCAGACTGGTGAATATACAATGTATCTCGACATACAGTGAAATTAAAGTATAATATTCCTTAAAAAGATACTAAGTTTACAAAATATCTTTGTTTAAAACCTAGAATCAGTTGAGGTCGAATGAGTCCAGGATGGGCGATACGAAAGATAGCAGAATAGCAAGACTTAAAACTTTTCTCTTCAAATATGTCACATATGCCAACAAATGATGATAGGACCATCTTGATGAGACCCTTTCTTTTGTGAACGCTTCGACGTAAGCAGCTTGTACTGATTCAGTGTAATCTTTCACTGTTATAGCAATTTGACTTTAACTCAGTGTTGGAACGTCAGGTTCAAATTCCACTGTTTTGCAGAGAAACCTTGACCAAAAATTGATGCCCAAATCAATAATTTTGCTTTCTAGTTTCCGGCTCGCTGCCATTTTGAATAGTTATAGAGTTATTTGTCACCTCTGTTTCATACAAAAACTTGGTATAATATATATATATATATATTCCCGACTGTAAAATCAGTCTTGCTTCTTTTGTTTAAAAACTTGACGTTGATTCTGGATTATGTCCGACAATCCATGGCTTGCTTCTCGTGGACATACGAGAAACTCCAGGAAAAGTCGCCTAGCTACATTTGAGGAATTGAGCGTTCCCAAATAGACGCGATAAAGTTTGAAAGGACGCAAATTCATTTTTTTAGTGATGTTTTCACTGCCGCCATCGTCATTGTTGCTTAAGCTCCCTAATGTGGCGCTGGAAGAAGCCGCCTGCAGATCCTAAAATACATCTTGTTGACATAGCCTGTGACATCGACATCAGCCTCAACGTGGTTTACGTCCACACGTTTGGGATAAGATTACCAAACATATTGACGAGAAGGATTTAAGAAGTTTTACCGAAATTCCCCTATTTAGCCCCTCTCTCTAATAAGCCCTCCCCTTTTCAGGGGAATTAAGTTAATAAGCCCCAATATCCTTCCCTACTTATTCTTCACCAATAAATGATAGACTGTATTAATCAATCAAAACTTTGAAAACTCCGGGATGGTTTATTCACTAACTGGAAGTTCGAATTTGTTTTTTGATCCTCAGCTGCATGACCTCCAACTTCTTGTACCTTCGCTTTTCCACTATGTAGTCTTCTCCTTTTTTGAGAACTGATACCATCGTCTTTTCTAAATTAAGTAAGCCCCCCATCTCAATTAAGCCCCTCCTCCGCTCAAATAGGTTTGAGGGGGGCTTAATAGAGGCTCAATATAGGAGTTAAGGTATACGTGGAAGCTACAGTCCGACGTCCACTATTCTAACGCCTTACACTTCTTTATACCATTTTTGACAGAGAGGTACCCCTTCCGTAGGCCCTTTAATGACAAATTATTTCTCTTCTTGATACGCTTAATAGAACTTTAGACTTCTGGGTTGGCAAAACTGGAAACGGCCCTTAGATTAAGATTTTGGGGAAAATACTATGGAGTATGTGAGATCGCTTGTTTTGATGACTTTCAAAGGCAATGTAAATGTTGTGGTAGAATTTTATCCTTGGCTTAATTTTTTTTCCTTTGTTTGAAAACCATCATTATACATTACCACACCCCAAAACAAAGGAATATCAAATTTAAACTAAGAAGAAAATTGAACCATAACAGTAGAGAGCGAGTAAACAAAAGATAATATCTTATAATCTACTTATTAAAAGTTGACGAAACTTGGCAGATATGCCTTTCATATCGCACTTCAGTCACACTTTAAAAACCTCAAAATGAATTGTGAACAATTAAGGAGTTTTGTGACACAAACAAGTTTCTCATAAAATGTATTTTCTTTAAAATTTCAAAAACCGTTTGTTAATTTGTAATTATTAAAATGGTGATTACTAAAATTAAAATTAATAAAAAAATCTAACAACTGGATTTTGTAAACCTAATGAATTCATAATTTAGGCTTATTTTTTTGTCATCCACGTTGCCATAGAAACGATCCAATCTCACTTTTTACTTAATAAATGTCATGTCTTATAATAAATATGTTTTCAATGACAAATTTGAGCTTTATACCTGTAAAGAGTTTTAAGCAATGCCCTAATGAGTGTTGACAATCCACAACCTATCAAACTGTGTTCATTCACCTTAAGTGGAATGCTTAGGTACCAGGCTCCACTGCGGTGTATATTTATCTGAGTGTTTTGGCATTTTCAGTTTCTATTTCCTGTCTTTTTTTTCCCTTTGTGATTGGATGCAGATGCCCTGGGGTACGTTCTAGTAGTGAAAAGTCGACTATTTTTTGTTCAGATATAAGGCCCGAAGTTGAGCCCAGAAAGTTTGGTCTTTGCAAGCCCTGTTATTTTGCGTCCTATCCATTGTGTCCAAGATATCAGGATTTTGAGCAACGGATATCAAGGTATATTGTTACAAGTTTTGCAGTAAACGTCACCTTAGAAGTAGCTGATATTTATGATTTGATAACCAGGTTAAATCTTGTTGGGTTGAGTACTATCAAGGAGTTTTTTCTTGAACGGCGCGAATTATTTCTAAGAACGGCATAAGTGGAAGTTTTCAAATCTATACGTCCTTGCAAACGTCTGCTTTAACAACGGGAAAGTGATTATGAGAATGCCTTATTGTTTAAAGTAAGGATTCTCTAATTTTTTACGAATTCGACCATTGGAAATTGGTGCAATCGAGTCGTCTGCCGAAAACAAGCAGAAAGATCACCGAGCATCATAAGGAAGCCTTTTATTTATCACAGTTGCTGTGTCAAATGGGTTGTAATATGAGGGATTGAAGCTGAAAGGTTGTTGTTCGCTTACTCGATCAACCGTCGAATTTTGTTTTATTCCTTAAACTTTCAAGATGGACTTTGTTCAATGTTTCGCTGATTTTGTACAAAATCTTGGCCTGTTTCTTGGCAGAGGGTTAGTCTCACTGTGTTCTTTGTTTTCCCTTTTTTCCGGAAGATTGGTAGTTACCTTTTCTATTGTGATCCAACTCAAGTAAATAGAACTACATTAATCTTGATTTATGTCTTTGTACAAGTATTATCAGTTTGCAAACTTTATTGGTCGAAAAGGAAAAGAAAATGCTAAATTGTGTTTAATATCTCAAAAAAGATGAGGGACTTTTCGAGTTGAGAGACAAAACTTAAAAATGTATTTGTAACAATGAAAACATTCCTAAAATACCACGTTCCTTTTGATTGTTGGTGTTCGCCACATACACCGTCGCAAAAGAAAGGTTAACTTTTCAATTTAGGATGATCCTACTGAAAATGTACTGCGCAGTGTTTATATATCAAGGTTGAAGTGATCCACCATGCTGCACACTTACATCCTTTTAATTTGTCGTTTCCATGGTGCAGAACAGTTAGTAGTTTAAAAATCTGTTATTTAATAAAGTTGTGAGAGTGATAATTGATTATTTATTGATAATTTTGCTCGAGATGATCTATGTTGGCAATCGTTTTGAACTCGAATCTCTCGAATCTCTCTGTGTATATCTCTACATAGCCAGATTTTGACACAGAACCGCAGTTACGGTGAACAAAGATAGAATAAGCCCTAAACAAAATTATATAAATAAACGCTCACCTCTCGTGTTGCATGAAGAACCAAACGCTCAAGAAATTCCTCCACATCGTTATCTTACGTTTATAAATCATGCTGGATGAATAAAATTTGCTCGAATTAGCACGCGCCAGGGACTTCCCGCGGAATAGAGTCACGTGGTAAAACCACGTTCTATGGAACAAAGCATCTATGTATTTTAAAATTATCGCGGACGGCTGTTATGGTAGTCTGCTACACAGCCGTTTTTAGTGTCGTCACGCATCTAAAAACGGCTGTGTAGCAGACTACTGTTATGGTTGCAACTTGCGTTGCGTTGCTCTTTACTGCGCAAAAAGAGTATTTTTCAACTCTGTGGACTGTCCAGACGCTTAAAATTTGTTTTAATCACGAATCAAAATGTATCCGAATTGTCAGCGACTGGCTTTTACTTTTAAACGAACGGATCTAAGTTCAACTGGTGGACACATGTACTGTTTGAGTCTTCGCGATGCGAATAACGTGAGTACGATTGTTCCTTATTTTAGAATAATCTGTTATTGGAACGTCTAGGCATACGTGTTATGAAAAGGACAGTTGGATATCTAGCCTTTCGAAGAGCGCTGTCAATTAATTTATTACCAAGAGCCATTTTGGATATGTGTTTGCTTACCTGTCGTTTTGATACAAAGTAATTTCGATACACCAGGCGATACATCTCGCCCAGATACAAATTGATTCAGTCGAGGTGGACAACTAATATTTCGCGACATTTGTTTTTCTTGCTCACGTGCAATAACTATACATCAGGTAATCGCAATATTTTTGCAGTTTCACTGCTTAAGTTCGTATCGAAATGACTCTTTTCCTTTACAGTTAATTGATCAGATTACATTCTTGTTCTCACGCCAAATGTGTCACGTTAATTAAGCTTTGTGTCCGTCCTCTTTCGCTCACACATAGCAATACCAACCACAAAACGAACAGTGAATGCTCTGGCTCAGGCCTTGCAAGCTTCATGATGATTTTAGTGGAATCAAATATTATTGTGTTAGATCTTGCGAGAATGAATGAATGTATAGTTGGCAAGTAAAATTCAATAATGAAATTATATATTATAGACATTTAACTTATTATATTGACTCAGTTAAGCCTAAAATGGTTATTTTTCTGCTTGGGAATTCCTGAAAAGTTTCAGGAACATGATATTTTGACATTTAGTTTGTTACATGTAAACAATCAGGACCTTATACATACACTACACACGTGTACAGCTGGTTCAATAAAGGTTCCTTTGGGCATTGGGAATTGAGCAATAGTAAGCTGTTGTTTGGTGCTCACTCAGGGAAATCATATTGTATTGTTTGGTATGCCCAAATGCCCAATAGCCAACCTTTACTTAATCAGCTATATACAGTGTAGCTTCTGGAGAAGTGACAACCACAAGCTATAAATGACATCCAGTATTTTCATTGATTACATTTTAAAACAAAATCTTCTAATAATCTCTTGTCCATACAAAAAAATATGCAGTGACTTTGTTAACCTCTGCTTCCGGTATCCCTGTTGCATAAAAATCCCCAAAGATGCAAAATGATAATATTGATGGCATGCATTCCAATGGACGCAAAGATCCATAAAAAATCTGAACATGCATGTGTATTTGTAGAAATATCACATTTGTGCATTCTGTGGCAGTTATTATGGCTGTTGTTGAAGGATGCATGTTTCCTTTAGCCTTTAGAAGGACTGCCTTTTAATTTCAGTGTACAACAGTTTATTTTCTACTACTGTAAACAACTAGAGGAATTTACCAGAAAATAATTATAATAAATAAATAAACAGTACATACATTAGTGTGACACCCAAAATAACTAAAAAGCTAAACTAGCTAGTTATATCACAGTTACTTTTTATCTTTGTTTCGGAAAGGCCAATAACATCGAATGCTGTAGATCTGATAGCGGCATTGTCAAACCATCATGGTTAGCAGAAAGGCTCCTTACGTTGAAATGAATTGTAGAGAAGAAAGGCATAGATTTGCTCTGAGAAGGCATAGCTTTGCTCTGATTTGCTTTTTGTACTGCAGTAATACAGATTTTTGGAGTCTGTCAAGCTAATAAGTCAGATTAACTGTCTGGGCCCAGTTGTTCGAAGGCCGATTAGCACTTAACCTGGGGTTAAATTTAACCCAGGTTTCTTTTTCTGGTATTCTAAAGCATTTTCTCGGATAATTTTCTCTGTTATTTTTAGAGCTTCCAATCATCAACTTGTACACAAAAAGAATTAAAAGTGAAATGCTTTTGAAGCAATCTGAATTCAAATCTTGCACTAACCCTGGGTTATCGTAACCCAGCTTTGAACAACTCGGCCCTGGTTACACAAAGGCCCAAGCATTTTCAATTACAGACTTGCAATTGTATATTTGTTTTATCTGGGAGTCAATGTTTCTGGACTGGGACTCAATATTTTTCACAAGATGAGTCCCAGGACTCACCATAACTATTTGTAGCCAAAACCACTGAATATATATTCACGTCTCCAACTTTTCCATTGAAAAGCAATATCACCCAAGCATTTTGTTGCACCATTCTTTGCTTGTACTTAACTCTTTGAAAATAGACAAGTAATGTCATTTTCTGACAATCCCAAAGAACTGTTGTTTATTTAAGCTATGCAGATATCCCTGCCAGTTTCTTTGTATAGCCTGTGCTACACCGTATCTAGCATCGATTTTGTTTGCCTTGTTCATATTCCTGATGCACTAAAGAACAGTAATTTATCAAGTCCTAAAAAAAACGTTTTCTTAGGACCTATATATGTCTGTATGACAGTGAATCGTCACTTTTTTCTCTAAATTCAAACAATTTTATACAGACACCCATTGACTTATAGTTATTAGGACATTTTTTCTAGTAATAACAACTTAAGGAATACAAAAACCTTTTTTCAGTTAACAGATTTGGTCACAACTATAATCTTGGTCAATCTTACTAATACGGTTTCTTTCTTATCAACTGTTTGCTGTAATAAGACCTACAGTGTACATGTGCTTTTTTCAAATTGAAAGAAATAATACTGTTACTTTAAAATTGAAACAGCATGTCAATGTTTAATGATGCTAGAGTCCCGTATTATTTCTCTAGCAGTACTTTTTAATTTCTTTTTTATGGTCCCCTCAGGGTCTGTATTAACAGAGTTTCACTGTTTGATTAAAATGCATTATTTGTCAAACAGTCATACAGACTTCTTGTCAAAGTAGGACAGTATCATGCATGAAATTAACAACAAAAACAGACTGTGATGTACAAGAACTCAGATGCTGTTAATTAATACAGTGTAGCTATTATTTATTTCTTACCCTAACCCTCATTCCTGAATTAATGGTGGAGGAAAATTATGTCTTTCCAGCATTCTTATTTATTTCAGTTATACCAGTGAAGTCTATTCTAGTTTTTGTTAATTTCGCCTATCTGTTTCCAGATCTGTAGCTGTTGTTTCATTGAATGATCCTCAGCGTGCAAAGAAATTAGTGTCTGACAGGCCAGGGCTATTGGATTTTGCCATCGGGCTAGTGATTTTTGTTCTTAACTAGATAGCCCGACAGGCAAGTGCTTTTTTTTTGGGAAAATTCAAATTACAGAAGGATGGCCATGGTAATCACTCCTGCTAATGAAAAAGGGTTTTGAGGCTAGTTGAAATGACTCGTGGGCTAGAGTACACAGCTAGCTACAGCTTGCCTGAATGGCAGGCTGTAAAACTGACTTTCTTTGCACCCCTGGCCTGGATCCTTTAGTGTTTTACTGGGCAGTTATTACTGTACCAACAACTTGTGACCTTTGTTTTGTACAAATGAATTTGGCTAATAGTTGTATTATAGTAGGAAAGAAAATAAGCTATCTAATTTCCTTTAGAAATCTTTATTAAACCTTTAGTTAGTGATTTCATTGGACAATTTTAGAATACACTTTTCTTAAGTAGTGTTTTAATTTTTAACAAACAATCATTTGTGAATATGGTGAGTTTTAAAGAAAATTCCCAAGACATACATGTACGTGGTTTAGACAACTCCAGATATGTGATGTCATTTCTAAAGGGTTTTTCAGCTGGCTTTTAATGGTGTTTTTGAAACCTTGCTTTTATTTTCAATTTTTTTTACAAAGAAAATGCTTAAATTTTTATTTTATTTGTAATTAAAAATGGGTTAAAATACCATTAAAAACAGGTTAAAACACCATTAAAAGCAGGTTAAAACACCTTTAAAAACAGTTTAAAACACCATTGAAAACAGGTTCAAAATCACCATTTAAAGACAGGTTAAAACACCATTCAAAACAGGTTCAAACACCATTTAAAGCAGATCAAAACACATTTAAAAACAGGTTAAAACACCATTTAAAGCAGGTTAAAACACCATTAAAAACAGGTTAAAACACCATTAAAAACAGGTTAAAACAGATTAAAACATCATTAAAAACAGGCTAAAACACCACTGAAAACAGAGTTAGACAACATTTAAAGGCAGGTTAAAACACCATTCAAAACAGGTTAAAACACCATTTAAAGCAGGTTAAAACACCTTTAAAAACAGGCCAAAACACCTTTAAAAACAGGTTAAAACACCATTAAAAACAGGTTAAAACACCTTTAAAAACAGGTTAAAACACCATTAAAAACAGATTAAAACACCATAAAAAATAGAATTTGGTACCTGTTTTAAATGAAGTTCTCAAATACAATTAAAACAGTTTTAAAAATATATCAAAAATATGTTAAAAATAGTGTTTGGTTTGGTATGCATGGTTTGGTTTGCATGACACCCAAAAGTTTGAATTATAATTATGTATTTTCTTTCGCTTAGGATCAGAGACAAACCTCTTCACTCAAAAGGGGTGTTAACACTCAAAAGGATGCTTGAGGGCGTAACGCCAGATTCTGTTAATTTACCCTTTCTTTTGATCAAAGTATATTTTTAGTGATTTGCAGTTCTGTTCAACCAATGAGAGGCAATACCCAGATCTGGGTAGTGATTCGTCGTCAAGTCGCAAGCTGCTTTCAATCCAATGTAGTATGTGTTAGGAAATATTTACCCAGACGTGTAATTTACATTATTCTTTATTTCGAAAGTGAAATTCTAGAAGGGGATGGCCTGGCTGCAGCCTTACCAGGTCGAGGATTTGAATTATTTCAAATTTTCCTCCCTTGTGCTCAATGAATTTCCAAAAGCCCTGAGACAGACCTTGAAGATGATGTGGGACAACACCTATAAACATAGTCATGATTTTAAGGCTTGAATTGATTCTACTGCCGTGAGAAATTTGTTTGCCAAGAAGATCGATGATGGGACTATTTGTGAAGAAGTCCCCTCTTTAATTTTATGAATGCTTCGATGTCAGTAGCTAATCCTTTTACTGATTCAGTGACATCCTCCAGTCTTATAGCAATTTGACTTTTGCTGTTTTCGCTCAAATTCCATTGTTTTGCAGAGAAAGCGATGTGACCAAAAACTGATATGCAAATCTTCAACTTTTGCTAAGTTCCTGCTAGCTGCCATTTTGAATAATTATAGAGTTCTTTCGACTTTGTGATTATTCTTGACAATGTCCGACAATCCATAACTAACTTCTCATACATTTACATCTTGTCTCTTCCTTAAGAAACAGAAAAATGGAAATGAAAGGGAAAAAAGAAGAAAAAAGGAAAATAAAAGAGAAATGAAATTTAGATTTTTTCTGTCAAGTCAACGTCAATAGTGATGTCTCCACTTGAGACTATTTCCTTTCGTAAACAACAGTCGTTCACTCAAGAAAGTTATGATTTAATATATGTTCGGGATAAGATTACCAAACATTAGAGGAAAAATTAGAAGGATTTAAGAAGAAAGAAAGTTAATAAGTCTCCCGCCCTCTCTTGTTTTGATGACTTTCAAAGGCAATGTAAGTGTTGTAGTTCAATTTTATCCCTGGTTCAAGTGTTATTTTCATTTGTTTGAAATAAATTTCCATTATTGTACATTACCACACCCTAAAACAAAGAAATATGATACTTAAACCAAGGATAAAATTGAACCACAACAGTAAACAAACGATAATATCTTTTAGGATATTAGAAGATATTAAAAAAACCTACTCTTTGGCAGAAATGCTTTATATTTTTATATCGCACTTCAGTCATTGAAAACACCTCAAAATAAATTGTGAACAATATGGAGATTTTTGACACAAACAAGTTTGTATAGGTAATAGTATGATTTGTAGTGATATTTGGCATAAATACCACGAGTGATATTTCAAAATTGTTATACGTAAATATCACGAGTGGTATTTATGCCTAATATCACGTACAAATCATGCTATTAATTGTTTATACTACTACCCGCAAAAGGTATGTAATTTTCACATGTAGGTATTTCAAATTAAGCTGAAATACCACTGCTCTAAGCCAATCAAATTGCAGAAATTTCTCATGTAGTAGTATAACTCATGGAAGGTATTTTCTTTAGAATTTTAAAAACTGTCTGTAACTTTATGTAGGGATTTGGTTAAGTTTTGTTTGTTTATTTATTTATTTATTTAAAAAAGGGGGTATTGCTGATTGTAAGCTGCGTGAAAATAAAAAAAACTAACAAATGGATTTTGTAAACCTGACAAATTCCAAATTTTAGGCTTGTGTTTTTCTTGTCATCCATGTTGCCATGGTAATGATCGAAATCTCACTTTTTACCTATTTAATCTCTTATAACATATGTTTTCCATGAGAAATTTGAGCTTTATACCTGAGTGTTGACAATCCACAACCTATCAAACTGTGTTCATTCACCTTAAGGGTAATGCCTGGTGTTAAATACCAGGCTCCACTGCGGTGTATATATATCTGAGTGTTTTGGCATTTTCAGTTTCTATTTCCTGTTTTTCTTTTTTCCTTTGTGATTGGATGCAGATGCCCTCGGGGTAAATTTAATGAAAAGTCGACTTTCGTTTGTTCAGATTAGTATAAGGCCCGACTTTGAGCCCAGAAAGTTTGGTCATTGCAAGCCCTGTTATTTTCCGTCCTATTCTGATTGTGTCCAAGATGGCAGGATTTTGAGCAACGGTTATCGAGGTATATTGTTACAAGCTTTTTGCAGTTAACGTTACTTTAGAAGTAGCTAATATTTAATAACAATATTTGATAACAAGTTGTCGTGGTCAGATCATGCTGCAAATGTAGCGAAGTCCTTCGCATCCAAGTTAAGTCTACTCCGACGCATGCGATTCCTCCCTCAGAAGCAATTAGAAGATTTCTACACAAAAGTGATACTGCCATCAGTTACATACGGTCTGACAGTGTGGGGATCGTGCAACAAGACACACCTAAAAAACTTGGAGAAACTCCATGCAAGGGCTGGACGGATTGTAAATGGGCTGCCATGGGACACAAGCGCTGAAGATGTCTTAATGCGAACTGGATGGGATAGTTTGGAAACAATGTACAAACTGCGACTAACGGAGTTTGTCTTCAAATGTTTAAAAGGTTACACCGTCACGGAATTTAAAAATTTGTTTTTACAGAGGAATTCAGGCTGCAGAAGAAATGAGAACATCATTCTTCCAAGACCAGAAACAAATTTTATCAGGAACTCCATACGCTTTAGAGGAGCAATCGCATGGAACACTTTAACGAACAAGGAAACAGGGGCCAAAACCTTGAAAGAATTTAAACGCTGTCTCGTAAAATTTGATACCGATAAAATGCATTTCGAACCAATCTTAGCTACTACCAAAAATAGAGATATCGGTTACGAATACTTTTAACAGTTTTAATTTTTAATTGTACATTTTCACGACCTATTTCAAACATTTTTAACAGTTTTTAGTTTTTAATCGTACTTCTTATTTTTCTTGTAATTGTTAGTATGCACGACCCCACCAGCAATGCTGATCTTTTTATCGTGCTAAAATAAAGTTCTTATCTATCTATCTATCTATCTATCTATTTGATAACCAGGTTAAAACTCGTCGGGTTGTCTACTATCAGGGAGTTTTTTCTTGAACGGCGCGAATAATTTCTAAGAACTGCATAAGTGCCGGAAGTTTTCAAATCTATATGTCCTTGCAAACGTCTGCTTTAACAGCTGGAAAGTGAGTATGAGAATGCCTTTTTGTTTAAAGTAAGAATTCTCTTTTCACAAATTCGTTCATTGAAAATTGGCGCAATCGAGTCGTCTGCCGAAAACAAGCAGAAAGATCACCGAGCATCATAAGGAAGCCTTTTATTTATCACAGTTCCTGTGTCAAATGGGTTGTAATATGAGGGATTGAAGCTGAAAGGTTGCTCGCTTACTCGATCAACCGTGGAATTTTGTTTTATCCCTTGAGCTTTCAAGATGGACTCTGCTCCGCAACGTTTCGTTGATTTTGTACGATAACTTGGCCTGTTTCTTGGCAGAGAGTATTTTAGTCTCGCTTTGTTCTTTGTTTTCCATTTTTTTCCGGAGGATTGGTAGTTACCTTGTCTGTTGTGATCCACCCCAAGTAAGTAGAGCTACTGCATTAATCTTAATTTAGGTCTTTGTACAAATCTTATCAGTTTGCAAACTTTATTGGTCGAAAAGGATTACAGAAAATGCTAAATTGTGTTCAATATCTCAAAAAAGATGAGGGACTTTTCGAGTCAGGAGACAAAACCCAAAGATGTATTTGTAACAATGAAAACATTCCAAAAATACCACGTTCTTTTGATCGTTCCAGCGTTCGCCACATACACCGTCGCAAAAGAAAGGTTAACTTTTCAATTTAGGATGATCCTACTGAAAATGTACTGCGCCGTGTTTATATATGAAGGTTGAAGTGATCCACCATGCTGCACATCCATTTAATATGATGTCGTGTCCATGGTGCAGAACAGTAGTTTAAAAATCTGTGATTTAATAAAGTTGTGAGAATGATAACTGATTATTTATTAATAATTATGCTCGAGATGATCTATGTTGGCAATCGTTTTGAACTCGTCGTCGTGTAAGTGATATAGCGAACAATAGCGTAAATATCTTTGTTGTCATACAGGCGCCTGTTCAAATGGTCAGAGTGATGAGAGAGTGTCGCCTTTTCACTCAACTTACACTTAGTATCTGCACAGTCTTGGAGAAACTGCTGTCATATTCACAAGATTCGCTTTATTTTCTTTTGTTGAATATGTTACGTGTATACATGTGCCAGTGGGGTATTTTGTAGTCCTCAAATGATCGATGGTGTTTTAAATAATCAGTTCCGGTACTATATGTGCAGCGCGAGCTGTTCCTTGGCACTGGTTTTCAATGAGTTTGTTTTTATACATTCAGAAAGTGGTCAACGAATCTAAAGTCACCGATAAATATGCAGACAATTCGGCGTTATTCACCGGAGTGCGTTAATTACGATTTTTTTTTGTCACTACGATCTGGCGGAAAAATTGTGACTCATCGTGCAGGATTCTTTACCCCAACTTTTCTTTCAAAATCAGAAAGTGCTACTGTTTTGGCCCCCAAGCATATTCTGTGAGGCTTATTTATCCAGCATAAGCCTGAATGTTTGTATTCTGTTATCGGCGTAACAATATGGTTTGATTCTACGACTGAGTTAGCCTGTTTCAGGCGTTGAGATAGTGGACCGAGGGCGCGAAATAAACGCCCAGGCTACTACTGAGTATGTAGCAATTTACGTTCATCATGACACCAAAAAGTTTGAATTATAATTATGTCTTTTCTTCCGCTTAAGATCAGGGAAAAACCCCTCCACTAAAAAGGGGCGTTAACACTTAAAAGGATGCTTGAGGGCGTAACGCCAGATCATTATTTATTTTTCCTTTCCTTTGTTCAAAATCTATTTTCAGTGATTTGCAGTTCTGTTCAACCAATCAGAGGCAATACCCAGATCTGGGTAGTAATACGTCATCATGTCGTGGGCTGTTTTCTCAGGCCATGAAAAAAAATATATATATATGAATGAAATGAAGTACGACTGTTATTAGGAAATATTTAGTTACCGTAATTTACATTATTCTTTATTTTGATAGTGAAATTCTAGGCTGGGATGGCCCTGCAGCCTTACCAGGATGAGGATTTGAATTATTTCAAATTTTCCTCCCTTGTGCTTAATGAATTCCCAAAAGCCCTGAGACAGACGTTGAAGACGATGTGGGACAACATCTATGGACATTGTCCTGGTTTCCAGCTCTGGGATGATTCTTCTACCGTGAGAAACTTGTTTTCCACTACAGAAGGCGAGAGAACCAAAGTTCCTGTTCATCAATCGTATGACGAATGGGATTGTACTGCTTTGTTCCAGGCCACTATCTACTCGCGAACCTTCGCCTTACATCATGGGACCCTAAATGACGTGTATGTTAAGCCCCGTGGATTATCACATGGCCATTTTCACCCGTCCGTAGTAAGCACTACTGGAAACAATGCGGAAACCTGGGCACTAGCGATTGATCAGTTACGCCTTCTGAGGAATTCTGTTTGCCACTCAACAAGTTCTGAGATGACAAAAGTAACTTTTGACCAGTACTTGAAACACGCCAAAGACGCGTTCCAAGCACTGGGTGTCTCCACAGCGCCATTTGATGCTGTTGGTAGTTTATCAGAGTCGGACTTTCCCATAAGTAAAGTCCGCAGACTTGAACAGGCTATCAAAGAAGAGAATAAATCGTACATAAAATTTCTTGAGGCTGTGAATTCAGACATTGGAGAGTTGAAGAAGAAAGTGGAGGGCGATATTGCTAGCAAAGACGACGTCGCCATGTTGGCACGAAAAATAGATGAACTCAAAGCTATGGAAGACGTCAGCGATAACAAAGAATACATTAGTATGTCGGCGCGGAAAGAAGGTGAGTTAAAAAGCTAGTGAAGAAAAAAAAATGCGCAACTCAATTAACAAGGCTTATCAAGCTAATCTACCCTGCTGAAAATGTAACTGAAATCCTAAGCAAAGTATTTTCACCACTTCCAAAACCCCAAATATGATTGTATTGGACTTGGAAGAAATCCACCTCTTATTGGCTCTTGCCACGACAGAACAGTAATTTACATGTGCGTTTCACGGTTTCACTGGATATAAATTACAAGGAGTGTCTTAATCGAGGCCGGAATCATAGATCGTGAGTCATTCGTTTAATATTTTTGTCAGCTGCTGATTATTACTTTGCACACCAAGTTACCGGCTATATCTGCGCTATACATAGTCAATTTGAATTCGCTATAATTTCGTCATCAGTATTAAGGTTAATTACCGTTCTTGTTATGCATCCCTGACATTGTTGCTATACTGGCGGTTCCATAAAAGATGAAAAATCTAAAAACATAAGTGAAGGGTATGTATCCGAAACTCGGTACCAAGAAGCCCTGACACTCCAGGGCTGGTTTGCCTTCCGCTACTTCCACCCATAATCATCACATCGCTACTTTTTCCTGTACACTCGTTCTAATTACCTAAATCAAATATCTGATATTCAATTGCTTGTTTCTCTTTTAAGATATCCCAATATCACTATTGGGATCTAATTTAAAGGCTGGCAATCGTTTTGTAGAGAATCAATCTTGTGAAGCTGAAAACCTTTATAAACTCGGAATCGACAAACGTAAGAATCAGGATTTTCAGTCAGCTCTTCAAGCTCATCCGTTTGCCCTGGACATACCTGTTAAACTGTTTGGAGAAGAACACCAAAGTATTGCTGACTGTTATTACGAACTGGGGATAACACAGCGCAAACAAGGTGATTTCAAAGCAGCCCTTCAGTCTCACCTGCGTGCGCTGGACATACGTATTAAATTGTTTGGAGAAGACCACCAAAGTACTGCTGACAGTTACTACGCACTGGGGAAAATACAGCATAAACTGGGTGATTTCAAAGCAGCTCTGCAGTCAAAACAGCGTGCGCTGGATATACGTATTAAACTGTTTGGAGAAGACCACCAAAGTACTGCTTACTGTTACTACTCACTGGGGGCAACTCAGCAAGAACTATATGACTTTGAAGGAGATCTTGTGTCTACAAAGCAAGCGCTGGGTATACGTATTAAACTCTTTGGAGAAGATCATCGAAGTACTGCTAAGTGTTACTACGCACTTGGGATAACACAGCATATTCTAGGTGATTTCAAAGCAGCGCTTCAATCTCTCCAGCGTGCTCTGGACATACGTATTAAACTGTTTGGAGAAGAACACCAAAGTACTGCTGTCCCTTACCACGCACTGGGGCTAACACTCTTTAATCTAGGTGATTCAAAAGCAGCTCTTCAATCTTATCAGCGTGCGTTGGAAATAAGTATTAAACATTTTGGAGAAGAACACCAAAGTACTGCTGACTGTTACTTCTCACTGGGGGTAACACAGCGTGAACTAGGTGATTTCAAAGCAGCTCTTCAATTTCACAAGCGTGCCCTGGACATACGTATTAAACTGTTTGGAGAAGAACACCAAAGTACGGCTGCCCGTTACTACGAACTGGGGAAAACGCAGCATGAACTAGGTGATTTCAAAGCAGCTCTTCATTCTCAAGAGCGTGCCCTGGGCATAAGTATTAAACTAATTGGAGAAGAACACCAAAGTACTTCTGACTGTTACTACTCGCTGGGGGCTAACACAACATGAACTAGGTGATTTCAAAACAGCTCTTCGATCTCACAAGCGTTCGCTGGACATACGAATTAAACTGTTTGGAGAAGAACACCAAAGTACTGCCGACTGTTACTACTCCCTGGGGATAACACAGCATGAACTAGGTGATTTCAAAACAGCTCTTCAATCTCAACAGCGTGCCCTGGGCATACGTATTAAACTGTTTTTAAGATCAGAAAAGCACTGCTATCAGTAACTGGGAAGTGGAGAAAATACAGCGCGCATTGGATGGCTTGAAAGGAGGGCATAAGTAGTTTAATAATTCAGTTTTCTAAGACTAGATATTTTTGCTTGTTTTTTATAATAACAGTGTCAAATTATTTTAATATTAATTTTGTTTTTATGTTTTACAGAGGGCCACAAGTTTATCAGTTTTATCATAACTGTCACGTGTTTACTCTCTTTAAATAGAGGCGTTACCTTACCTTACCTTACATGGGCGACGGTAACAAGAACGTCAAAAGACCAATGGCTATACTAATTAAAGCAACAGTATGCACTGTGTTCCTGTAGCCTAATTTATTCCAAAATAGAATTAACTGGAATTATTTTGTATCCCAGCAAACAGAGCTCAAACAAAGTAGGACTCCGCCAACATCAGTCATTCTCTTGTCATTGTCTTAATATCTAACAGAACATAAATCATGAATACTGATATGAAAGGACTAAGACTGGATGCAGTGGCGGTGTCACAGCGTTTTGGGCATCCCCGCGTTTTGGGCATCCCCATTCCCATATCCCTAGCGTTTTGGGCATCCCCGGTGGGGGATGCCCAAAACGCTGATCACTTCGACTTTGCCTAAATTATTTCAGACTGGGGAAAAGTCGGGATTGTTAATCACGAATTTGCGGCTAAATAGTGTAGATGCATGTTAGAATTATGTCGTCCGACACTTTTGCCGGGTCAATTGCGCAGAAAAAAACCCATAGGCAGTAAACGTAAGCTCAAAACATGACGAAACTGAAATTTACAACCGCATAACATCGCTTCGATGCACAACACTTCATTGTTTGCAAAGCTTTCAATTTTATTTAATAGAACTGTTTACAAGCGAGCAATGTCGCAATCACCGGCAGCTGCGATCGTCTGATTCCAAACAGCCAAAAACAAGAATACTAAACAAAGGAATCAAAAGGCAAACATGAATAAAACTGCGTTTTGCGGTGTTGCATTCATAGTATTCATGACATTTGAGGCCTGTACAACTTAACCCCGTAGGGCTACTTGATACAGCAAAGGCTGTCACACAATTACTGAGGCCTCAAATCATCAGTGGCACTCTTCAGGAAGACCCTCGCTTTATCTTCCTCGGCGATAACAAGACGTCGAAGCGCTGTGCCATCCTTCTCCTTGGCCACGTAGCACAAGGACTCTAATTTTGAGTCATACTCAAACTTTTTGGCGAATTTTCTAAGAATTGTTTTGTCCTGCTTTGTAAAGCCTTCCGGATAAACCTTATTTTTAAGATACCGGAACAGATTTGTATATTTAGCGGAATCCATCTCTAAAAGGTTTTCGATTTTCCCGCGAAATCCCAAATTGTTTTGGAGGGGATGCCCAAAACGCTGCAGTAATATGAGAAGGGGATACCCAAAACGCTAGGGATATGGGAATGGGGATGCCCAAAACGCGGGGATGCCCAAAACGCTGTGACAGCGGATCTGGTGGAGGGGCCTGGGTTCCAATCTCATTCTAAGGCCAAATTGAGGCACAAAGGGCCAAGGAGAATTATTTTCGAGGCAGAGCCACCCCTTTTCTTGGGGATTGGATAAGGAGGGGGGGGAGGTTCTTGCTTAAAGGTCAAAGGTTATACATCACAATATGCAATCATTCAGGACAGAGTGACTGACGTCAATAATTAAAAGTATATTCCGCTTCCGAATTTGGTTAGCGCTACTTGTCACTGATCATGCAGGAAAGCGAGCCCACCGCATTCCTCCCTTCCCTTTCCGGGAGGAACCGAAGACCAGACTCGGGAGAGTGGCAGAAATCCAGCCTACAGCTGCTTTTGAAGAATAAGCCAAGGTATTATCAGAAAATGAGAGGTACTTTGATTGAATAATAATGCTGAATATGGATATTTACGAAACCATATTTCTGCCACCCTTCTAGGATCATATAAAGGTCTAGTGGCTCGTGAC